GGGAGGGAGGGAGGGAGGGAGCGGGGGGGGGTCGGGCTGAATCTTAGCTTCTTCTGCCACAAGCCCTGCAGCGGGGTGGTTCTTCCCTCCCCTGATGGTGATGGATGAGCACGTGTCACCAGGCGCCTAGGCTGCAGCTAGATGAGAGTGAGGGTTAAATGTAAGATTACATTTATATGGTTCCATGCCTTTATGTTTTCCTTGTTCGGGTTGGCCCTCCCTGGTCAAAAAAGAGGGAAATTTGCTGGACCAGGAGAGGTTGCCTGCCACCAGCCCCGTCACCCCCCACTGCCTCCACTTCTGCCCTGGCCATCCCCCACTGTCTCTAGCCCAGCTGGGCTGCTGGCCCTGGCTGGCCCTTCCCTACTGCAGGTTATGTTTCCACCCTGGCTGGCACCCTGCCTCTAGCCTGTCTGGCCCCCAAGCCCTGCCGGCCTCAGTTTTACTGCCACAAGCCCTCCTGCCACGAGACTCCAAGCCCCAGGGCTCTCTGGCACTGAACCACGGATGTTGCCGGACCAAAGTGGCCCAGTTTTGGGAAGTGCAGCCTCTATGCTACCATCAAAACCAGGGACAGGGAACCTCTGGCCTGTGGGCAATTCACCAGGGTTAGCTTGGTGGGCCACCAAATGCATTGTTTTCCTGAGTGTCCACATGGCTGCTCACAGCTCCTAGTGGCTGGAGTTTGACATTCCCAGCCAATAGGAGCTTCAGGAAGCTGTGTCACTGTAACTGCCACCGCGTGGATTTGAACCTGGGATCTCTGAAGCGGACTATAGGAGCCTCTACCTTGGGAGCTAAAAGCCAGCTGGCTCTCAGCCCCAGCTGTAGAGGTCTCTTGAGCTTAACTGTTGCTGTGGTCTAGGCACCACTTGCACTGCTCAGTAACCACATTAGGTGTGTGGGTTACACCACTTCCCGCAGCTCCTATTGGACAGGAACGGTGAACTGTGGCCACTGGGAGCTGCGAGTGGCCGTGCCTGCAGACACTCACATAAACAAAGTGCCTGGCGGGCCGCATCTGGCTACCATGCTGGAGGTTCCCCATCCTGGATCTAAACATTGAAAAAGAAACCGTAATTTTTGTTTAATTAGAGCTTGTGATGGATGGAAGGGGTATCCACAAGAGATCTTTTCTAGACATATCAGTCATTCTATTAATTAAATTGCCTGTAAAGGGTTAAACCCAAAGACAGTGGGTCTTAAGGAAGTGTTATCAGGGAGCCAGGAGAGCCAATGGGAAGAGAGTGAGAGATTTGAATTAAAACAGGTTCTGTGATATGGGAGGAACATGACCGCCACCATCTGTTCCTTGCCCTTTGAGGTTACTCCCCTCTGGCCCTTCAGTGACATCCATCCTTATTTTCACTGTGCAGCTCTGCCGTGGAGATGAACATCTGGCCCTGATCTCGTTTGGCTGTTTTGTCGAGATTGGTTGCTCCTGGGCTACTCTGCCCAACTGCAAATATGAGCACTAGGCTATTTTCTGGCCCTTCTGTAGCTTCAGTTGCCCTGAAAGCTATAAAAAAAAATAATTTGGTTTGGATCACTGGCTTTGCAAGTTGAACCTTCTGTGAGCCTTTTTTCCCGCAGGCAGTAAAAGAAAAAAAATCCCTAAACTTTCAAATAGTCAAAAGGGGGGAAAAAAGCATACTTTTAAAATTGAGTTCTGTGTTCCTGGTTCAAAATTATTCCACCTCTGCCACCATGTCAATGCGGTTTCCCACTCTGGCACTTTGAGTGCAGTAGGTCGGGACCCACAAGAAATCTTAAAAATACCCTGCCACTAGAGGCTTCTGTGGTTTTTGTTTGTTTGTTTTTTAACACTTCCCCAAACGTTCCCTGACTTTGGGTGGTACACTGCAACCACCCAAATGCAAAAAACCCTTGAGAGTCCCGGAAGACAATTTCTTCCTGTGGGGTACCCTAGGGCATGTCAACACTGCAGGGCAAAAGTCAAATTCAGATACGCAACTTCAGCTACGCCAATTGCGTAGCTATAGTCAAAATAGCTTAATTTGGCATTTAGTGCTGTCTACGCAGCAGGAAGTCGAAGGAAGAACATTCTTCCTTTACTTCCTTTACTCCTTGCAAAATGAGGGTTACAGGAGCCAGAGTAAGAAGTCCTTTATCTCGACATTATTTCAAAATAATAGCTTGCTGAGTAGACTCACATTTTCTTTTGAAATAACATCAGTTATTCCTAAATAACATTGCTGTGTAGACATATCCTCAAGCTTTTTAACCCTGTGATGCCTATTATATCAATATCCTCCTTTAAAACTAGGCACTCTAGTTCTCCCATTTTACTATTTAGATTTCTAGCATTTGTGTATAAGCACTTTAATAATTTGTGACAAATTATCTGGCTGCCATTTCCTGATGTGTTAGACTCTTTTTCATTTTATTGTGTCTTATCTGATCCGACCCATACTTTCATCCTCTCCTCCTTATTAGAACATAGAGTATCTCTATTAATAGAACCTCCCCAATAGATGTCTCTGATCCATCCATGTGCTCCTCCACACCTGTTGGCTTTCCCCCAGCCCTTAGTTTAAAAACTGCTCTACAATCTTTTTAATGTTAAATGCCAGCTGTCTGGTTCCATTTTGGTTTAGGTGGAGCCCATCCTTCCCGTATAGATGCCCCCATCCCAAAAAGTTTCCTAAGTTCCTAATAGATCTAAACACCTCCTCTCTACACCATCGTCTCATCCATGCATTGAGACTCTGAAGCTTTGCCTGCCTACCTGGCCCTGCACATGGAACTGGAAGCATTTCTGAGAATGCCACCATAGAGGTCCTGGATTTCAGTCTTTCCTAGCAGCCTAAATTTGGCCTCCAGAATCTCTCTCCTACCCTTCCCTTTGTCATTGGTACCTACATGTACCACGACCACCGGCTCCTCCCCAGCATTACATATAAGTCTATCTAGATGTCTTGAGAGATCCGCAACCTTCACACCAGTCAGGCAAATCACCATACGGTTCTCCCGGTCATCACAAACCCAACTATCTTATGTTTCTAATGATCGAATCTCCAGTTACTAACACCTGCATTTTCCTAATGACTGGAGTTCCCTCCCCTGGAGGTGTATCCTCAGTGTGAGAGGATTTCATAACATCCTCTGGAAGGAGGGTCCCAACTATGGGATCATTTCCCTCTGCTCCAGTTGAATGTTCTCCTTCCCTGAGCCTTTCATCCTCCTTAGCAGCACAGGTGCTGTCTGACTGTAGGTGGGACAGTTCTACAGTGTCCCGGAAAGCCTCATCTACGTACCTCTCTGCCTCCCTCAGCTCCTCCAATTCACCCACCCTGGCCTCCAAAGCCTGTACGTGGTCTCTGAGGGCCAGGAGCTCCTTGCACTGAATGCACACATACGCCACCCGCCCACAGGGCAGGTAATCATTACATGCTACATTGACTGCAATAAACAGGATAGCCCCCACTCTGCTGCTGGGCTTCTGCCTGCATTCTCTCCTGCAGCCATCTAGGTTATTGATAGGGTTTTTATTTAAATCGGGAAGTTTTGTTTTTAGTTTAGTTTTAAAGAATATCACTTGTACCTCATCTCCTTCCAACTGCCTCTCGAAACTCCTTTCGCTGCCCCTGTTCGCAAAGCTTCCTGGTCGCTTACTCACAAGCTTTATAAAGCCCTGGCCTTCCTGACAGCCTCGTCCCCTGGCTAAGGCTCAACCAATGAACAGAGGATTCTAGATTTCAAATCCTTGTCAAGAAGCTCACAGCTTTCAACTGCTGGCTACAGCACATGGTCCTTCAAACAAACAGCTCAAACCTTGAATTTCCAAACAAACAAACTGACAGACAAACACAAGCTCAGCACACAGTTTCTTTCAGGCAACTAGCAAGTAACCCCCAAACACAAACACACACTACACACCACCACTTACCTCAAGGGTCCTGTATTCACTCCTCCTTCACTTGGAGAACTCACTCTCAAAACTCCCTGTTAGCTGCTCCTGTTCGCAAAGCCATTTAATTAACAGAATAGCTGGAATGTCTAGAAAAGGGTAGTCTCTGTTCCATCCATCACAGAGTTTTCCCATTTAGAAAAATATAAAAGAAAACAATTTTTGTTCTGCTCTTTTATGTAAAGTGCAAAATATTTTTTCATCTTGTAGAAGAAATACACTGGATTTCTCTCTCAAAGCTACTGTTCAAAATTATTTTAAAATGATTGAAATGGAACTCCAGCTATAAGCTTATTGACCAGTTTGTAAAATCATGAGCTGACATTTTATCATTGTTAATTTTATAGTAGAACTCGAAGGCCCCAACCAAGACTGGGACCCTGTTGTGTTAGATGCTGTGCAGACAAGTAGCAAGAGAGAGCCTCTGGCCTAGAGGTTTCAAAATAACAGTGTGAGCATCTACACAGCCATTCAGTTATTTCAAAATAATTTTGAAATAACGGACGGCTTTTTCCGAAATCTGTAAACCTCATTCTACGAGGAATAGCTTCTATTCCAAAATAACTCCTACTCCCAGCCTCTCCCCTGCCCACGCCAGGCTTCGGTCCGGTGTGCAGCTAGAAAATTAAGAAAATACCGGACATTGCACATGTCCGGTATTTTCTGATTTTTTTTAACGGACAGAGCGCAAAAATTCCAGACTGTCCGGTACAATACCGGACACCTGGCAACCCTACCTGGGGCTCTAAATTGAGATAGCACATCTACATTAGGGAAGCCTCTCTCAGACTAATTTTGAGGCTTCCCAGCAGTTGTAGACGTGCTATTTCGAAATAAGCTGTTTTGGAATAACTATTCTGGAATAGCTTATTTCAATGTAAGCATGCAGTGCAGATGTATCTTAAGAGCCTTAATCTAAAACTGAAGTCTGGGGTTTTGCATGCTCTTGCATGCACCTTTTTAATAAAAAGGTATATCTGTTATTTAGAAGATGATTTGATGTAAAATTAACTTTTTTTCTCTCTCTTTTCAGTTATCTAATGAGAATGAAGTAATCGTAAGAGTAATTCAAAGACTTTGCGAAAAAAGGAAGAAGAATGTCCTTGCATTTGGGTATGCGTTATTGGATGAAAACAGTTCCTATTTGCAGGTTATGTCTTCAAATATATGCAGCTATCTACCTAACACGGCAACAGAAACTCTTCGCATCAGTGCCCTCTGGGAAACGTTGCTGAGCAGGATAGGAGATGATGTTATGATGTATTTATTGGAACACTGTGCAATCTTTATGCTAGTGCCACCTAGTTGCTGCTATCAGATTTGTGGGCAGCCTGTGTATGAGCTTATTTCAAGTAATGCAGTAGCTGCCCCAGTGTTTGTTAAACAAAGGTATTCAAAAAGTAGGCATAATACTTTGTATGACTATGTAGAGAAGAAATTTCAGTTTCATAAAAGAAGCTTATCGAAGACAAACAGGTGGAAATGGAAACAAAGAACAGAAATGACTCTCTTGAGCACTAAAAGTCCACGGAGTAATAAAACACCAGGCTTTGTGTCTGATTCTGAGCAGTCACCCTCAGCTAAGGGAGCTATTGGGCAAAATTCTAAAACAAACAGACTGGTCATTATGGTCCCTGGACACCTGGAAAATGAGAGAGGACCTGACCCACATCCAGTTGCTACAGCCACACCAAAAAGGAAGCTTGATAGGGAGCAGTTTGAAATGACAACTAAGAGGATGAAGATGAACCTCGGGGAAGAAAAGCTAGAAAGGGATGCTTGGAGCCTGGGTCCTAATGTAGATAAAAATAAGTCCACTCAAGATTTCATTTATGATAGACAGTCTCTTTCATGTGTAGAATCGTTTTCTGTAAATAATTGTATTGAAATTAAGTCCATATCTCAAGGAAATGAGGGTGGAGCAGAGACACTTGGTGCACTTTCTTTAGTCCAGGAAGCTCAAGACAGTAAGGAAAAGTCTGTGGCAGATGATGAGAATTTAAAGCTGCATGTTCAGTGTAATAAACTTTATAAGTCTAGCACTGAGACTAAAAGAAATTCCAGCAGAGAGGGAGCAGAGCTAGACATCTGTACATTTCAGGTTGGTTCTGTACAAATGAAAAAAACGAAAGACACGTTTTTAAAATATAGAGGAATTAAGTGCCCTTCAGATAATATAGTTAAGCTGTCCAATAAAATGTCACGTTCCAGAGTATACATTGGGAGGAAATGTCTCTTGTATTCTTCCAGGAGCTTTCAAGAATGTTTCCCTAAATCATTTTTATTGAATCGCTTAAAGGGCTGCAAAGCAGGAGGACAACGACTTGTAGAAACAATATTCTTAAACAGCAAAATGTTGGCAGAAAAATTCAATAAAAATCAACTGAATTACACTTGGAAAAAGAAAAGATTGCCCAAACGTTACTGGCAGATGAGAGATGTATTTCAAAAATTGTTAAAGAATCATGCAAAGTGTCCTTATTTGGTACTTTTAAAAAAGAATTGTCCTGTTTTGATTTCTGAGACAAATTCAAGCAAAACTGAAACAGCGTGTCAGTCAGCTACAAGTGACAGAACACAGATTTATAGGGAAGCAGAAGGTCAAGTTGGGAAAGAGCATCCTGTATGTTTGACAAACAATAGCAGAGAACGTGGTTGCAGTGGTATTCCAAATGGATCGTGTTTGCTTCCAAAAAGAACTTTAGCTCATTTAAGTATCTTAAGCAGCCCTGAAAAATCTGTGTTAGGGCACACAGAAAATGAAAGACAAAATGCCAAAGGCCTCTGTGATCTTGGCATGAAAGAACTTCTCCGACAGCACAGCAGCCACTGGCAGGTGTATGTTTTTGTGCGGGAATGTTTAGACCTGGTGGTACCTGCACAGCTGTGGGGTTCTAGCCATAACAAATGCCGCTTTTTTAAAAATGTGAAAACCTTCATCTCCTTGGGTAAATTTGCCAGGTTTTCTTTGCAGGAATTGATGTGGAAGATGAGAGTGAATGACTGTACATGGCTTCGTGTGACCAAAGGTACTATTTATAATATTAAAGTGAGGCACTATACAATGGAGACAGCAAACCAATATTCAGATTTATCCCAAGTGAGGACTTGAATATTTAGAGTAGAAAGACTAATGTGGTTGCTTGGTATACCAACTGGCCCCAAATAGTGCTTATTGTAACTAAAGCTACACAGTTTCCTTTATAAATCCCTGTTTTTATATGCTTGAAACTTTCACTATTTAAACTCACATTTTCCATGTCTTTGGCTGATGATGATTTCTTAAACTTCTTCACTGCATTTTGATCAGAATGTGAAATAATGCATATTGGATGACATGACACATTGAATTCTTCGTTTGGTTTTCGTCACCTGAACTCGAAACAAAATATGTAAAAAGTGTCAGAGAAAACTGAACAGTGATTGTTTTTCTTAGAGATGGGACACGATATAGTCACAGAAAATAACAGATAGCGTAGAGAAGGGCAGCTAGCAACAATTGCCCATGAATTATAAGAGGTGCACTGAAACTGAAAGGCAACAAATGTAAAACAAGAAAAGAAAATACCCTTCTATAAAATGCAGAATTAATCCCTGGAATTTGCTATTAAAATATATATATGAATCCAAAAGTTTATCACTATAAACATCCTTCCCCCCAAAAAAACCCAAAACCTTCAGCATTAGACCTGTATCCTGCAGGATACACGTTTTACACTAAGCTGTTCTGGGGGTGGGCGTTCGTTTGGGGAAAACTTCCTTTGTGGAAAGGGATGCTATTCCAAGACTATTTCTTGCCCCTTTCTCTTAAGTATCAGGTACCAGTCAGTGTCAGAGGCAGGATACTAAATTAGATGATCCAGTCTTGTATGGCAGTGCACAATTAGAAACAAATATGAAGTCCAAACAGTACAAGCCTGTCTTACTGCCAGTCGTCCCGTCCCCACCTCCCGCCGACAAATATTTAGCAAATGGGTGAACTTTACATTTCAAACACTGTATACAGATCCTCCTTAAGGAAGTTAAGACTGGGGAAAATGTTTTTTGTTTTATCTGTTTTATCCTATCTACAGCCCTGAGTAAGCACTTTCATAATGGAAATTACTGAACTTAATGGGTATATTGAGCACTTCAGTTAATGAGATTACTCACTTGTTCAGACTTATATATGTGCTTATGTGTTTTCCTGAATCAGAAACTTATGTCTCACATTACTATAGTACTTGATTTTGAAGAAGCTAGCCATTTCCTTGTGAATGCAGAAGTACTGGTGGAACTAATGTGGCTAATTGGTGCCCATTTATTTAAAACTTCATGTTGTAAATATAGTATTATCAACCCCAAAATTTTAAAAATCATGAGCCAAGCTCCAAAAAAGTCACAATATTGGATTAAATATTACAAGAATTTTAAAAAATAGACTCTGGGTTTTTCTTATTTGCGTTCTGGTTTCTGTGCTTTTAGGGTGCACTTGCTTCATGTTTTCAAGTTTTTCTTCACAACAATTTCTCAAATTTAATGAAAGCCATGATTCTCATAGAATAATATGAATTAGAAACAGCAGCTTTAAGAAAAAGACTCCAAAAATCTCAAGCAATGTAGTAATTCAAATAAGTGTCTCAGTATCTCATAAACCTATCAGAAACTTATTGTGCTGAATAATTTAAAACTTGAGAAATTATATCAGATAAAGTGAGACATTAACAAAGATGTTAAGAGGCGTGTGTAATTCTCAGACCTTACTTTGGACCAGAAGTTGCTCTCTGTATGCAGAGAGGATCTCCTACCCATGGGTCTGTCTCTCTTATGGGGAATGGATTGGCATTCATCAAAGCAACATCTTCCTTACCCTCACACAAAGGTGGGTGCTTTCTGCATGCTGGGACCTATGCAGAAGGCAGGCAAAGAGGGCAGTGAATGGGGATGCCCATAGTCTCTGTTACTACTATGAATCCCCCTGCTATAGGTGGATTTCCTATTTCAGGAAAAGAGCATCTAGGACAGTCCCTAGGTCTAGGAGCTGTCATTAGCATGGAAGCCATTAGAGACTGGGAGGTCATCTGCTGATTGCGCCAGGATCCCTGTGAATCATTAGGACTCCACAGCCTGTTCTGTGGGAAGGTAATGGGATGGTCCGGAGTTTAAGGCTCTAAGCTCAGGACTACTCAACTTTGGAAGTCCCGTGAGCCACAATGATACTCCTAGCACATGCCGAGGGGCCGCAACTTAAGTGCGGTTGCATCTACATACAAATATATTTGCAAATAGCGTCTGTCACACCGAGGGGCATGAATACAAAGATTAAGGCAAGACTACACAACACACAGGCCCCATTTAAGTCAGTTCTGCTGATATTAATGCAACATTTACCCGATTTCCACCCATATGACAGCACTTTTAATGAGCAATGACAGTCCTGGAATTTAACTACTAAAACACATATCAACAGAAGACCATTATATTGACTACTTTTTTTGTTTTAGCTCCACCCTGGGCCACATGTTGAGCCCTGCGTAAACCCAAACTGCACTGCGGGCTGCAAACAAATGGGCCACAGACCGCATGCGGGTGTTGTGTAGCCCTGCTATAGCTTATGAGATTAGAGTTCAAGTCCCTGTTCTGCTTCAGATTTCCTGTGTGACTCTGAGCAAGTTACTTAGTTTTTTTGTGTGTCAGTTCCCCATCTGTAAAATGAAGATAAGAGCACTTCCCCTCCCTCACAGGTGATAAGTATATGAAATATTAAGGATGATTGCATGCTATGTGCTTCTTTCAGCAGCATGTAGTGTGCATGCATGTATAACCCCCCGGCATAGGTCTCAATAACAGTATAGGCTGTGAAGTACAGCTGAGGTGAGTAAAGACATGCTTGAAGAGTGCGTGTACTTGAATACATACCCCAAGTGGTTCTCTACTTGTCGAAGTCATGACCTCCTTTCTACACAGCTATTTTTAGTAGCACAATGACCCCTGGCCACCTATTGGAGCCTTTCATACTGCAATGTAAAGTGGTAGTGATGTGCTTTTCACTGTGGCGTGTGTATACTAAATAATACTGCCAGTGGTATATAGTGTAGACATAGCCTAAGATTTCAACCAATTTAGCAGCCCATCCTATGGAAACACCTAAGGTGAGGGATATTGAGCCTTTTGATATAATTATAGAAAATTTAATCAGTTCTTTTGTAGGATCTGTTGGATATTCTTAGATACCTCTTCTCAGTTATAATTCAGCATTAAATGTTAAGCAGATTTCTCTGTTGTGTATGAAATAAGAAGAAAAAAATCCAACTATAAAACTTATTTTTAATCCTTTACAATTTGGTGTACACCAAACCTTTTGATACTTGTTATGCTATGTCCAACTATAACAAATATATTTTATCCAGTAATTCTGAATGTACCAGAAAATTCATTTTCAAAGTATATGGGTACTAATTTTTAGTCCAAAATTTTTATATTTTAGGTAATATATTTTTGACTGACTGTATTTCAGGGAATACTCCCCCTTAAAAACACCCGTAAGATCTTGGGTGTTGGCCCTGATCCAGCAGAGTTCTAAAGCAAATGCTTAACATCCAGGCATACTTTAGTGAACGGGAACATTTTGCCTCCATGGGTAGCAGCATCTTTTTTCTGGTCCTGTATCTCTCTTCTAAATACTGATTCCATAATAGTGAGAGATTGATATCTGTTGTCCAGTATATAGAAAATTAACTATATGTTGACACGATAACTTCAAAATGAGTTACTTTATTATGCACGTTTTATTTTCTGGATGCTAGAATTTCACTTTCAGAGTTTTTATAACATTCAGGGTGGGTTTTTTGGCAGCGTTAAATGACCATTACCAGAAAACACTATTTTATTTGATTTATGGAAGACGTCCATCAAGATTGAGGCCCTTTTGTGCAAGGTGCTGTATATACATGTAAGAGAGACTTCCCTGCCCTAAAGAGCTCTCAAGCTAGCTATATAAAAGGTCAGGACAAGGAAAGGCTTGTACCCCATTTTAAATTAGTTTAAACTATAAATCTCTTATGAAGTATCTTGTTTGGAAATGTAGCTGTTTGATTGGATTCAGAATTACCCCCACATGAGATAAAATCCAAGTTACATTTCCATAGGAATATTAACCTTTTCACTTAGTTTATTTTAGTTGTCCGGTTAGTATATTGTATTTCATGCTGATTTTGCATTTAATTTGAAAATATGTCTAGCAGAGCGCCATAAACCTTGCATTGTAGGGCAGTCTTTGTTTTGCTTCCATTGCATGACTACAAAAAATATTCAGTTTGAATTTACCAAAGATCTGAGGTGGCATCACTTTTTTGGACTATCAGAATACTTTAAGTAGAATGTTTGGCAAAACAAATATAACTGCAACTGAAATCCACACTACAGCAATTAAGTTCTTTTAAAAAAAAATTAAATTAAATTTAAACAAATTACACGTCTGAAATTAATCTGTGTAGTTCATTTGGAAGTATAAATATTGCTCTTTTCCTCAATTAACCCCAATGGCTCAGGTTCAAAATTTTTATCATTTGCTTATAAAGCAGTCCATGAGATTACATCTTTCTACTTTGCAATAATTTGGGACCAATTCATCTTTTTCCTCACAATATCTTGCCACTGTGTATTCAAGAGCCTTCTCTGCATCCCAAGCCATGGAGAGTATAGAAAGTAAGTCAGACATAATTATTTCTCTGGATCACCAAGTTGATCACTGATCTAAAAGGTTTATTTCAACACTTGCATTGATATTCTGTGTACTGTTTTGTAACTACAAACTATTTTTTTAATATGTAATATGTGCCAAACTTACAGTCTGAGTAATTAGAAAACGTGGGTTTAGGCTGCTTGGGGGCCAGTTATTGTAAGCGGTTTTCGACAGTTTTCGTAGCTCCCTTTTCCAACCTCAGTCTAAGAGAAAAGCATGTGTGCATGTGTGTGTTGGCTTTTAGAAATGTAAATGGAAGACTCTCAATCTAATTGAAGTTTGCTTGTTGTAGGTGATCATTTTGTTCCTGCTTTGGAACACCGTTATCGTGAGGAAATTTTGGCCAAGTTTCTATACTGGCTAATGGATACCTATATTGTACAGCTGCTCAGGTCATTTTTCTACATCACTGAGACTATGTTCCAGAAGAAGATGCTTTTCTTCTATCGAAAACGAATTTGGAGAAAGTTACAGAACATCGGAATTAGGTACTTACAATAAAAGCCTACCATTTAGGAAGTATGGAAAACTTACATTTTGCATTAATTAAGGTTACAACTTTGCCTTAAGAATTGCCCCTTCATTCCATTTACATTGACTAAATTTCTTAAAACTCACTTGAGATTAAAATTTTCATGCTTTGTCAGCTCAAAAAGGTCTGTTGTGTGAGGATATTGGTATAAGTCTCCTCAGCCATTTTTGAGTTGTCCAAGTTGGGAGTGAGGATGAGAGAATTATTTAGTCTGTTTATTAGAACAAAAGTCTCTTTCTTGTGGGTAACTCAAACAAATGCACTTCAAAATGTAAAATAAAAATAAGTTACATTGTGTATTGGCTAAGTCCCATAGTAAGTTTGGGAAGAGATGGGGGCAGGGACAGCTATAACCTCATTGGGCCAGAAGGGAACAGGTGTGGAAAAGGAGACAGATATCTACTATATATTTCAGAGAGTTTGTCTGTTTGTATGTCTGTCCCCCAGCCGGGGGACATGAACCCCTTTCCTGGCTGTCCTTGCTGCAGCTGCAACAGCCATGGACAGGCACTTTTCATCTATCCCCAAGCTGCTGCAGTGAGAAAGGGTGGGGGTTGTCCTCTCTCCCTGGGGTAGCCTGCACACTGAACCCCTCACCCCAGCCCTGCCCCACACCAACTGTTTAAATGAAGACAAAACTTATTTGGGTTAAGGATCCAAGCAATGCTGGGTAAGTCTTCTAGTCCTTTATAATGTGACCAAATTAGACTTTTTGTAGTATTCTTTGGGGGAAAAAAAAAGCTAATTGAAGATCTCCTGGCTAAGCCAGAGTATTCTCTTGTAATACTTCCTATTTTTCCTATGCAGTGGAATAGTTTGCTTTTGTGCCTATCATAATCTCTCTCTGAAAAACTGCCCACACTTGAACATTTCCCCCCATTATATTTGTTTCTCATGGGATCTTACTACCAATTCCCTGAGTTTGCTAAAGTCTGCCTCTTTGAAATACACTGTCTTTATTTCGCTGTTCTCCCTCCTACCATTTCTGAGATTCATGGACTGTCATTTCATAATCACTTTCACCCAAGCTGCCTTAACCCTTTCAAATTCTCAACCAGTTCCTCCTTATTTGTCAAAATCAAATCTAGAACAGTCTCCCTTGTAGTAGCTTTCTCCGCTTTCTGAAATAAAAATTGTCTCCAGTACTTGTTGGATAATGTGTGCCCTGCAGTATTATTTTTTCAACAGATGTCTAGGTAGTTGGAGTGCCCCATCACTATCAGTCTTGTGCTTTGGATGATTTTGTTGTTTAAAAAAGCCTCATCCACCTTTTCTTTCTGGTTAGTTGGTCTGTAGTAGACCCCCAATCATGACATCACCCTTCATTTTTTACCCCGTTTATCCTTACTCAGAGATCTCAACAAGTCTTTCTGCTGTTTCCTCACTCCTCGTGTATACATTTTTAATATATAAGGCAATATTTCCTCCCATTTTTCCCTGTGTGTCCTTCCTAAGCAAGCTATACCCTATACAGGTTGAACCTCTGAAGTCTGGGATTCTCTGGTCCATCAACATCCATGGTCCAGTAGGACTACGGACGTTGCTGGATCAGAGAGCCTTGGTGCCCTGGAGTGAGACCCCCGTCCCTGGGGAGCCCTGGTTGGGTGGGGAAGAAGTGTGGTCACACAGCTGGGGAGCTCTATCCCCAGTGGCAGCAGCGGGATAGGTGAACCCTGTCCCTGGTGGGGACTGCCGGTTGGGCAGGGGAGAAGCAGGGCCATAGAGGTTGAGGAGCTCTGTCCCCAGAAAGCCCTTGCTGACCAGAGCAGCAGCAAGACTGGTGAATGGCAAAAGTGGGGCAGCTGGCAAGCCCTGTCTCAGGGGAACCCTGGCCGGCGGGGCAGCAGCGGGATAGGCAAGTCCGGTCTCAGGAGAGAATCCTTGGTAGATCGGGGGTGAAGCGGGGCCGCGACAGCTGGGAAGCTCCATCCTGGGGAACTCCAGCAAGCCGGAGCCCAAGTCTAAGCTCTGAAGGCTGAAGCCCAGTGGCAGTGGAGCTTGGGCGGAGCCAACTGCAGGGAGGGGGAGTGTCCTGGAAAGCCAGTGGCAGGGGACCTCCCTATATCCGGCAAATTCCCTCATTCGGGACAGGTCAGGTCCTGAGGGTTGGACAAGGGAGGTCCAACCTGTAGGCCCAGTTATCATAATAGGTTCACAGTTATTGCACCTTCTGGACACAGCATATTATAAATATTATAATAATAATGGAACCTTGATTGGCATATAATATCTTGGATTCAAACTAGCAACATTAATGTGAACAAACACAAAACCTTTTACATTGAATACATTATAAAATAGTAATTTGTTTTAGGGATGTTAAATTTAGTTTAATCAACTAATCGACTAGTTGATGGATTTTCCATCGATTAGTTGATAAGCGGGGAACTCCCGGCCCCGGCAGCTAATCTTTCTGCGGCTCTGCCTTTTAAATGTAAGGCATGCTGTTAATACATTTAAAAGGCTGAAGTGCAGCAGAGGGACCCAGCACGAGCTGGGCCAGCTGGTTCCCAGCTCACACAGGGCTCCCTCCTCCCCCATGCTTTAAACCAGCCTTAAATGTAAAAAAAGGCTGATAGAGGCAGCAAGAAGTGGAGGGGGGAAGGGGGATGAAGTGACTAGTCGAGGGACTATCCAATAAGCTTTTGCTCATCAACTAGTCGCTAACATCCCTAATTTGTGTTATATTTTATTAATGGTGCCTAAAGTAACTAAATAACATGAAATACTGAACATTACTTAATAAACACTAACACTGTTTTCAGCTTGGTGTTTAAAAAAGAAAATCTGTACCAAAGTTGTTAAGATCAGGAAGCTTTATTTGAAGAAAATATAAAACAAACTCCAGAGGTGTAAGTCCTCATCCTGCAATGTGATCCATATAGAAGGATTCCTGCATACAAACCCATTTACTTGAATGGGAACCTGCACCCTGTGAATCCCTCCACAAACTGGGTGGGGTAGAGTAGCAGTAGATACTCTGTTAATACTCCATATCTTATTTGCAGGTTGAGGGGAAGTATAGGTCTTCCTTTTGGTCACCTCTGCCTCCTATGACTTCCTATATATAGACTACACAAGCACAGGGATTTGGCTATTGGGCTGATTCTGTTTAATTTTGGTGCTGAATTTTGTCTTGATAAACTGACACATTTTGAAATGGAGCCCAGAATTTCACTGGCGAGTGGGCAAGGGACAAAAATAAATAATAATGACCATTGGGTTGAAAGAATGGTCCTTTTATAGAAAGATGGATGACTTTAATCTTTTGTTGATCTTCAAAAAGCCCTTTCTAAATCTGAAACTTGTTTACAGCTTGTCATCTTGAAGGAGATGAAAAATCTAGCTTCCTATTTCAGTAGAAATAGTCCAGGCTTTCCAAATATATTTCACTACTTGCGTTGGAGGTATAGTTTCATTTTCATCTGCTACATTAAATTTGGATCTCATGCTTTATTACTGCTAATTTGGGTAGCGACCAGCAGAAATGTAAACTTTATTTTTGCATTATTTTACAAAATTAAATAATACAGTTAATTTAAAAAATGATGCACATTTTTGGTTATGAATAATGGTTTTATCATAATCTGATGTATTGGATTACTCATTGTTAAGGTGGTTTCCATGGAATATCTGTGATTATTTTCTGAAATGGAAAACTTTGCCCTGAAGACAAAATGTGTAACTCACTGCATTTAAGTCCCTTTAAACTTAATGTATGTTTTTATTTTAGAAATCATTTTGCTAAAGTGCGTCTTCGTGCATTATCTGCAGAGGAGATTGAAGAAATACAGCAGAAGAAATATGTTCCTATGGCATCAAGACTTAGGTTCATCCCTAAACCAAATGGATTGCGACCTATAGTAAAAGTTGACAGTGTTGTTGGAGCAAAAATAATGAGCAGGAAAAGCAGAGACAAGAAGGTCACTATATTCTGAATTTGTTTATGTTCATTGTCACCTTGCAACTAATACCAAAGGGTGTATGTTAGAGCTATCATATGATTAGAAAAAATAATTATGATAAATTTTGTGTTAATAATAGAATACCATTTAAATATTTGTGGATGTTTTCTACATTTTCAAATATATTGATTTCAGTTACAACACAGAATACAAAGTTCTCACTTTATATTATTATTAATTACAAATATTTGCACTGTAAAAATGATAAAAGAAAATTTTTAGCTCATGTCATACAAGTACTTTAGGGTGAAAGTGCAAATTACAAATGTAGTTGTTTTTTTTTGTTATTTAACTGCACTCAACAAAAACGTATGTAAAAGCTATTTTATGTTTAGCTAGAAGCCATTTTGTATAACAAAAACCATTTCAGCTTTTTGTCTTTGCACGTAGGCCAAAGTAAACTTTCTATCACCCCATGCGCCAGGCCAAGACAAATGTGCTATTAAAATGTGTTAATTGGGCTGATTCAAAGAGGAAAGGTACTCCCTCCTACCTATCCGCCATCTTGTTAATAAGGCTTTGTTTTTCCTAGTTTAATTAATTATTTCTGTAATTGAATGCCCTAACGTCAAACTGTTTGGTTAAGGGAATAAAAATACTAGAATTAATTGTATTAGGCAGCCTTACTGGGCCCGGCTTTGCTAAAACCACGTTTGGCTCACTTTGCTTTTATTGGCCAATAAAACTGTCTGTTTAGCCGCGTAAACTAAGTAAGGCGTTTGCTTCAACACGTATAATACTTAAGCCTATAAGTCCATTCAGTCGTACTTCTTGTTTAGCCAACTGAGAAGACAAACAAGTTTGTTTATGGGAAATAATGCTGATCCGCTTCTTATTTATAATCTTCAGAGGGTAGCCGAGTTAGTCTGTATAGGATAAACTTAAAAAACAACAAATGGTCTAGTATCACTTTATAGACTAACAAAACATATAATGGTATAATGAGCTTTTGTGGGCACAGCCCTCTTCTTCAGATGCTCATTATACCATCTATATGTTTTGTTAGTCTATAAAGTGATACTAGACCATTTGTTGTTTTTTAAGTTTACCCTTATTTATAATATCACTTAAAATGAGAACAGGCATTCAGATGGGACTTTTGTAGGTGGTGTTGCAAGTTATTTACATGACAGATATACTAAACCTTCATATTCCGCTTCATGCTTTGGTCACCATTCCGGAGGACATGCTGATGATTCTCTTTTTAAAAAGTGCTAATTACATTTGTAACTGAACTCCTTCGTGGAGAATTGTATGTCTTCTGCTCTGTTTTACCCAATTTCTGCTATATATTTCATGCTATAGCAATCTTGGATGATGACCCAGCACATGTTTTTCATTTTAAGAACTCTTTCACTGCAGGTTTGACAGAATGCAAAGAAGGTAACACTGTGAGATTTCTAAAGATAGCTATAGCACTCTACTTGATGTTTAAGAGTATTAAGTGCCCTCCAAAACATGAAAAGGATTAAGTGAGGCCCTTGTTTTCAGAAGTCCCAAAAGAACAACATATAGATGCGGAAACTACAGAGCCCAAAACCCCAAAAAGAAAGTTATATGCCAGTGGCATCTCACTTTGAAGTGATATTGTAAACAAGAAGTGGGCAATAGTATCTCCTGTAAATGTAAACAAACTTGTTCAACCAATCTGAGTGATTAACTGAACAAGGAGGAGGACTGAGTGGATTTATAGGCTCAGAAGTTTTACATTAGATTTTTTAAGTTCTGAGAAGGTCTCTTAATAGATCTGAATCCTTTGGGAAAGTGGACAGTCTTTTCAAAAGTCCTATATGGGTCTGTAAGATTTTCAATTATATTCTTCAAAGTGCATTAGATCTGTCATCCAACTTGTTTTCTGACTGTTCACTACAGGTCTTAGCCAGTACAGCAACAGACCAAATTACAGAAGGACATTTTGAATTTTTAAATGTTTGGCTCTCGAGTGGATCAAAAATATTACGGATATTTTCAACCAACTTTATCTTTTTTTAACAAACCTGTTTAAAACCTTTGAAGTATATGTGTGTGTGTGTTAGAATGGAGAACTCATATGTGCAAGTTGTACCTCCCTTAACCGGCTTTCTCTGGTCTGGCAACTGGATCACGGATGTTCCTGGACCACAGAGACCAGGTATAGGGAGGTCAGGCCACGGTGCAGGAGCAGCAGTGGGGGCACGGAGACTCAGCTGGGAGCCGGTGCAGGCGGTGCTGCAGGGAGCTCTAGCCCCTGCAGCCAGGCAGAAGCTGGGGACCAGTAGCAGCAGCCAAAGAGCTGCATCCCTGGCTGCTATGCACCTTGGGATGGCAGCGGCAGCCATGGAGCTCTGGTCCTTGCTGCCGAGGTTCGGCCCCGGTGGCAACCAGGGAGCTCTGTCCTTCGCTGTGGAGCTCTGACCCCAGTGACAGCCATGGCTAGGCAGGCAGCAACAGGGCTAGGCTGGAGCCCTAGCTGGGGGCAGCAGGACAGCACGGGCCATGTAGGGAGGGACCTCCTCTGGTCTGGCAAATCCCTTCAGTCTTGAGGGTGCTGGGCTAGGGAGGTTCATCCTCTACCAGAATGCCAACCTGTATTATGCTGCCTAGCCACTAGCTGGTGTCACATATAAAATATTTATTTAAGTTAACCAGGCAGTCCAATAAAGAATCTTATAGTGAACACATCTGGTGTATATTTCTCAGAGAAGTAAGATAGTCAGTATCTGATACTCAAGCCTTACCTGTTAGTAACAGCCCTGCAGTCTAGTAAACTCGTGCCAGAAAAGAACAGTTGCAGAAGGAACAAAGTAGCAAAGATTGCAGGAGCTCATCAACATACCGCTGCTTCAGTGAACTAGAGAACTTCAGCTGTGAAATAGCTTCATGGTGCGTAGACTGGAATTGGTATTTTGCTAGATTTCACATTGCAGACAACATAATTTATGCAATGAGCAAGAGGCAAAGCATATCTTTAAATCCATTGACTTTGCTGAATACAGTTGCAAGAGACTATCAAAGGATTTTGGGTATGTTTGATCTATATGTTACACTGCTGTGAAATGTGTTTTTATAAAAGACCATGTTTTGAGGCAGTCTGTGACTATGATCATTAAAGCATTATGGAAGCTGTTTATATACAGTTCACTAGAGAAAGGATAGTATAGATGTGACTCAACTTTGTCTGCTTGCCTGTTGTTAACTCAGTGTGATTTCAGTAATTATTAGGGCACCGAGTGCTCATTTTTTGCCTGTAAGTAAAATCTACATATTGAAGATGAAATATATCATTCTGAGTTTGGCTTTTAATTTCCCATAGGCTGATTATTTCAACACTCAACTTAAAAATCTATTTAGTGTTCTGAATTATGAACGAACTGAAAACCCCCATCTCCTGGGATCCTCAGTGTTTGGGAAAGATGATATATATAAAGTATGGAGAAAGTTTGTTTCTGAGGTTCTTGACTCAAATGATGGAATACCTTGTTTCTACTATGTGAAGGTATGTTTCTATTATTTTTTCTCTCCATCTCTCATATTGAACTTTTGTGTGAAACAATGAATCTTTTTTATTGTATGAGGGGCTGCTCTTTTCTTTGAGTTGTCTCTGACCATGAAGCTGACCTATCCAAGGTCACCCTGAATTTTCAGACAGTTGCTGTGCATCAAACACTGCCAAATAAAGTTTGTTGTCGGGTCAGTTTCACTTCTGCTATTCAAAACTTTTTGTACAGTAGGGATGTTGCTTGAGAAATCAGTGAGAAGCACCGGAGGCAAACAAAGAAAGTATTCACAAGAGAGGATGGCTGAAAATTGAGGTTAGGAAGGAAGAGATGAGCCCCTAATCTCACTGGATCATTGGGATATAACTCTCACTTTGGGTTACCAAAGTAGCTGACTATAACCCCTTCAGTACTAAAAGCATGAACCTCTTCCACTTAAACTGAAGTAGTGACTCTCTTAGGCTACATCTGTACTGCAGGTTTCTTGCGCAAGAACTGTTTTGTGCAAAAGGTCTTGTGCACGAGCACATCCACACTGCCATGTGCTTTTGCACAAGAGATGTGTTTGCGCAAGAGCATTCATGGCAGTGTGGATGCGCTCTTGCGCAAGAAAGCTTGGATGGCCATTTTAGCCATGGGGTGTTCTTGCGCAAGAAACCCCTGTTGCCTGTCCACACTGCCTTCTTGTGCAAGAAGCCCTCTGTTCCGACGCTTTACTGTTGTGGAAGAAAACATTGTCCTCACTCTGAGTTTGTAAGCAACAAGTAGCCAGAGGCAGTTTTATTATGAGCTGCAGCAAGGGAAAAACTGGTTCGGACAGGGGGGGAAGCCCCTCAGATCTTCGAATACAAGCAATTATGAAGCAGTTTATATACTGTCTATTAAATATAATAACAATAACAATTAGTCTCCTTCCCATTACAAACACCAATGGCTAACAGTTATTTAGTTCCACCCAGATGCTCCTTATCTCAAGGTCCCTACCAGAGTCAGCATTCTATCCTTATCTCCGTATGGAGGCGAGAGGCGAAGGCAGCATCTAATTACAGATCTCGCGTTGTCAGGCCACAGACTTAGCCTGACTCTTGCTCTCTTGTTAACAAGACCAAGATGGCTGCACACAAATTCCCTTATTCTCTTTTCCTGCCTCCACACTGTAAATTTATTTGTACAAGAATGCACTTGCACTCTAGACACTCCACAAGTTTTTGCCTAAGAACAGCCATTCTTGCGCAAGAAGCCAGCAGTGTAGACGTAGTCTTAGTTATTTAATCTCTTAAGTGGACCAGCCACTAGAAGAGAAACAAAGACACACATTGGGTTACAATTGTAGCAGCCATGAGGCTAATGGGTGCGCTTGAGTGTCACACCTCCAATAGGAAAAGGAAGGTAGGCAGATGGGAGAAGCTGCACATTTATCCACAAGATTTAACAGTTAGAGACAGCGCTTCCCTCCCCTCCCAAACCAGTCTCTGAGGAAGAGTCAAGTGCAGAGATGAAGCTAAGCAGTCTGCCCTTCCCACCAGAATGGTGCTTCTGAACTTCACTCATCTATAACTTTCACTCAGCCCACTCAGCTTTCACATTAGCATTTTGTTTACAGAGATACTGTTCTCATCAACCACCTGTCTGGCAAGTTTTCCCAAGCTCTGAACTTATATTTTGAAGAAAATAAAATCCACACAAACACACACCTACACAAAAAATGCTAGAAATTATTAAACCAGTACAAATAATCTGAATAGTTTGACTACTGCCTGATTCAAATATTCTAGAAAAGAAATGAAACACTCCTCTCACTGGGAAAAAATCAGCATTAAGAAAACAGAAAAATCCAGTGAAAGCTGCTCCCTGGGTTGCATTGAAAACATCAGATGTTGCTGAAAATCAATTGCACACCCAGCTCGTGGCTAGTAGAGGAGCCTTAAAAGCTTACCTTTGAAATGGATAGACATTTGTAACAACCCATACAAACATGATTACAGTAAAGTCATTTAGAATGCACAGCCAAGCACTGGAAAGTTCAGAAATGTTAGAGTTAAGGTTTCATTTGAAACCGTAATTCTGCTTTTTATGCACACACAATATAGAAGTTGTTAAGCAACCTAAACATAGTGATCACTATCATTCCCCTTATAATAACGGCTTAAACTTAGCGGAAGCAGATGTTTTGGGCATCCCCACTTGTCAGAATAAGGGAATGGACTAAATGGCACAACAGGCCTGTTACAGCCCTGAGCAAACTAATATTTTCTGGGCATTTTTGTCCAGGTTTGCTGGGGTGAGCGGGGGTGGGGGGCACTGAGAAGACAACTTCCCTGGGGCCTGGTGATTCAAAGGGACCCAGGGCTCTGGCCACTGCCAGGGCAGCATCTGTGGCACATGGAGCCTTATAAATCACTGCTGGAGTGTCACACAGCATGCTCCAGGTGGCTCTTACACTTGACTGGGGAAGTGAAGGGCTGAGTACCCCCCTTCCACACAGCAACCTGGTGCAGCTGTTGGCTCCCCTGTTTTTGTCTTTTTTTCCTTTAGCTTTGTTTATATGCCTATAAGGGCACTTACAGTCGCATAGTATGTGTCTCCCCTGAGTCTTTTTTTTTTTCTATTTCAGGCTGATGTGACTGGGGCTTATGATGCTATTCCTCATGATAAACTTGTGGATGTCATTTCACAAATCCTGGATCCTGAGAAAAAAACAGTCTATTTCATACGGCGCTATGCAGTGATCAAGATTAACATGAATGGACAAATCAGAAAATACTACAGAAGACATGTATGAGTGGCTAATTTCTTGTTGTTATCAATGTTCTGCTTTGGAACATATTCATTTCATTCTTTTTTAATTGCCAACCCTTAGCTTAACTATCCAGTTATTGCATACATGGACATTCTAATTTTTTTTAAAAAAGCACATACTTGCACTCAGTTCTAACACACGCACATCCATACTTCATATTGGAAACTTGCTGGAAGAGACAAGGCCCATTCCCCAGGCCTTCCCAACAGTTATACTGTCCCTTCCTCTGAGCAGCCATGAGGGCGAGTAGTAAGGGAAATCCATGTTACTTCTTTACAATGTAGCTGTTTTTTCCCCTACACATTGTCACAGTATGATGCAAGATTTTGGTAACTCAATACTTGTGCTGTACTTTAAACTGTCTGCTTTGTGATATGAAAACCATATCTGGGCTGACTCCATTCCATTTTAATGACTGTTAAGTTAATGAGCTGGAATATAGCACAACAGAATTAGGCCTACTGAACACAACAGTGGCCATGCTCGGTCAGACCAATGGTCCATTTAGCTCAGTATCCTATCTTCTGGCAGTCCCTCTATAGCAGCCAGAACTACTATCAAATGATCCATTGCATGTCAACTAGTCCCAGTTTCTGGCTGTAAGTGTTAGGGATACCTAGAGCATGGGGTTATATCCCTGACCACCTTGGCTAAAAGCCATTGTTGAGCCTACTCTCCATGAACTCATCTAATTCCGTTTTGAACCCAGCTATACTTTTGGCCTTCTCAACATTCCCTTGCAATAAATTCCATGGGTTGACTCTGCATTGTGTGGTGTAAAGAAGCACTTTCCTTTTGTTAGTTTTAAACCTGCTGACTATTAATTTCACGGGGTGACTCCTGGTTATTGTGTTATTTGAAGGGGCAAAGAGCACTCCCATATTTACTTTTTCCATCCCATTCATGATTTTATAGACCTCAGTTATATCCCCCTTACTTATCACTTTTCTAAATTGAACAATCCCAGTCTTTTTAATCTTTCTTCATATGAAAACTGTTTCAAACCTTTTATCATTTTTGTTTTCATTCATTATACCTTGTCCAGTTCTAACATATCCTTTTTTAGATGGGGTGATGGGAACTGCATGCAATATTCAAGGTGTTGAGTGTACCATGGAATTATATAATGACGTTATTTTCTGTTTTGTAATCTGTCCCTTTTCTAATGGTTCCTAACATTGTTAGGTTTTTTTCTTCTGCAGCACATTGAGCCGATGTTTTTAGAGAACTAGCCATGAAGAATCCCAAGATTTCTTTCTAGTATGCTAACATCTAATTTAGATCCCATCATTTTATATGTATATATAGTTGGTACTATGTTTTCAAACACTGAATTTCATAGCCATTTTATTGCCCAGTGAACCAGATTTGTGAGATCCTTTTGCAGGCAGCTTTGGACTAACTATCTTGAGTAATTTTATATCCTCTGTAGACTGTGTCACCTCACTGTTTACCCCTTGTTCATAAACAATTTGCAACAGGTTCAACAGCACTGGTATTGGTATGGATCCTCAGGACGACTCTGCTATTTACAGTAGAACTCCAATTGTCCGGCACTCCAGATAGTCCAGCACCAAGTGGAAGCCGGAAGTGCTCCGGCCAGCTGGACAATTGGAGCTGCCCAGAGGCGGCGGAGGAGAGGGGGCGAAAGGCAGGCAGCTGTTTAAGGCAGGCAGGTGGGCGGGGGATGGGAGGGCAGCGATGTAGCAGGGAACACTGCATGCCTCTCGCCCGCTCTCCACTGCTGCTGCTTACAAGCTGGTGGCTGAGTTTCCCCGCTTGCAAGCCGGATGTGCAGGGCTTCCACCACCTCCCTGGAACATGGCGGAGGTTTCGCCCACCTGCCTGCCTTAAACAGCTGCCTGCCTCTTGCCTCCTCTCCGCCGCCGCCGCTTGCAAGCCGGCTGTGCGAGGCTTCCACCGCCTCCCTGCAACAAGGCGGAGGGTTCACCTTTCCCTGCGCCGTTCCCCGCTGACCCCCCCCACGCAGTGCGGGTCCCGGCAGACCTGTCACAGCATCGCTCTGGAGTACTTCCGGTACCCCTTGGGTCCCAAGGGTACCAGATTATCGGAAGTCTACTGTACATCTTTCCAGTGTAAAAACTGACCATTTATTCTATTCTTTTATTTCCAATCTTTTAAACAATTACTGATCCATGACAGGACCTGCCTAACTTTGCTTCTGAGCCTTTGGTAAGGGATCTTGTCAAAGGCTTTCTGAAATTTCAAATATATCTACAGGTTGAACCTCTCTAGTCTGGCACTCTCTGATCTGGCAACATCCGTGGTCCAGCATGATTTTATTTAGACGGATGACTGCTTATTGTGGGTGTGGTTTCTCATGGCCCCCTAAATTTTGTTTAAAGCCACTAGTCCTGGCTTTCAGAGCTAAAAAATACCACAGAATTCTACAATACCCCTGTATGTCTTCTCAGAGCCCAGCAAGCAGAGGAAGTGCTGATAATGCTTCTAAGCATAAACATGTTTTTTATGTTTTATCTATTTATTTTCTTGTGCCAATACAGTAAAATTGTTTAACAACATGAATTCTTCGTTATGAAGAAAGCTGATCAGCCTTGGCAAGGCATAGGCTTTTATAGGGTGTATCAGTACAGCCATACATTATTAAGCAGCATTGCAAGTGTAGTTCCATTTATTCACCCAGTGAAATAAAAATAAAGAGACCCATTCATAATATTGACCTCCTGTGATTCGGCAAATTTTCTGGTTTGGTTGGTCAGCTCCCAAGGGTGCTGGACTAAAGAGGTTCAACCTGTAATATAGTATCTGGATCATCCTGGTCCATATGTTCATTGACACCTCAAAGAATTCTAATATATTGGTGAGGCATGATTTACCTTTACAAAAACTATGTTGACTCTTCCTGAACAAATTGTGTCTAATAATTCTGCTCTTTACCATAGTTTCAACCAGTTTATCGGATGCTGACATTAGGCTTACCTGCCTGTAACTGTCAATGCAGAGGCTGATTTAAGCTCATGTTACATAACACAGGAGCTCTGCAATTTCATATTTGAGTTCCTTCAGAACTGGCATCTGGTCCTGGTAACTGGTTACTGTTTAATTTATAACTTTGCTTCAAAATCTTTTTTCTTGACACATCTATCTGGGTTAATTCTTCAAATTTTCACCTGAAAACAAATGGCTCAGATATGGAATCTGCTTTACATCTCTTGCAGTGAAACTCAATGCAAAGAATTCCTTTAACTTCTCTGCAATGGCCTTGTCTATCTTGATGCCTCCCTTAGCACCTCAGTTATCTCATGGTCCCACCTACAGTTTGGCAGGTTTCCTGCTGTTACAGACTAACAGTATTTTTTTCTTCAATATTTTTTAGCCTACCTAATTATACTTTTACTATTGATTCACTATAGTTTATGCACCTTTCTCTTTCCTCCAGTAGGATTTGACTCCCAGTTTTCAAACAATGTCTTTTTGTTTTTCTAGCCACCTCTTTTACACTTCATAAGCCTTGGTGGCATTTTTGGTTCCTTTTTTTAATTTATGTTTTTAATTTGAGGTATACATTTAGTTTGAGCCTCTGTTACAGTGTTTGTTAAATGTGTCCATGCATTTTGCAGGCATTTCACTCTTATGACTGTTCCTTTTAATTTCCATTTAACTAGCTTTATTATTTTTGTGTACTTCCTCTTGAAGTTAAATGCTACTGTGCTGGCTTTTCTTTGGAATTTTCCCACCTTGCAAGGACTATTGATTGTTGTTAACAAAAACATCTTTTGCTGAATTTTACCATTTGTTTACTCCTCGTGTACAGGTTTCTACTTTCAAGGATTTTATATCCCATATGAGACTATTTGTATCCCATCTGCAAGAGAGTACATTGCTACAAAATGCCATAGTGGTTGAACAGGTAACTGTTATGAAACATGAGAGAGAAATCCAATTAAGGTCATTCTTAATTCAGATATTAGAATGGGAGCTGGTAGTGCCTCCTTTCTTTAGATTGCCTAGCACTTTCCCTTATTGATTCTTGTGACCTTTTTAAATCTTTGCTTGTGGCAGGCTTTTGATATTCAGAAAGGGGCTTATTGAGTGGCTTTTTGCTCTCCTAGGGAATTCTGTTAAACTTTTGCTAAAATCTAAGCTCTTTAAAAATGTCATTTCCTTTCTCTTGCTTTTATTTCTCAGGGTAATTTTGGCAGTATGCAAATAAATAAATAAATTGTAAAAAGGCTCTGAATATACAAGCATTTTAAGTCCAACATGATGCTACTTCTAGAGCAACACCAGCAATGCACATAATCCTGGGAACATCAGGGGCCTGATGGGATGAGGCATTGTCAGCCTCCATGGCTAGGATGGTCCCTGCTCACGGAGAGGCTGTGGCTGGAGTTGTTGTGATCTCCTGCAGTGGCTGGGGCTGCCCTTTGTCTGTGGCTAGGGCTGAAGCTGTCAGTGGCCGGCACTGGAGCTGTTGACCCACCCCAAGTGACTGGAGAAATTGTGAATTCCAAATGTATCTGTGTTGCATTTTTAAATATAAAATCTTAAATTTTAATTATAATACACTTTTAATAGCTTTAAACTGATATAAAAATATGCTTAAAGTACAAAATGTTTCTTTCCAACTTGTTCTTCCATATTGGGATAAAATCTTTTATATTTCTTTAGAGCCTTTCTTTAAATGAGACAAGCTCCAGCCTGTTTGATTTTTTTCTGCAAATGATCCATAACAACATCTTGGAGATTGAGGGCAGGTAAATGAATTTATGAAAAGTAACATCAGTCTCTACCATTCTACCCGGACATCTGAACATCTTTCACTTGGCACTAAGAATCTAGCTTTCATCAGATGGGATACGTTATGTGACCTTACTTTGAAATGCAGTTGTCATTTAATTTAGGTTAAGATCTATAAAAGCATGAATGGTCTTGAAAAATTTATTCACATAATAAATTCTTGTTTCTCTCTAGTGAATATATATATATATTTTTAAAAAAAGTACAGAAATCACTTACATCTAAAAATAACTGAATAAATTACAGAGGAAAGAGACCAGAAAAGTTTTATAAGGTCTTAGAGAGTCACTGTTGCTGTAGGTTGAACCTCCTAAATCTGGGACTTTCTGCTCTGGCCAGAACATGGATGTTGTTGAACCAGAGCGCCCTGATGCCCAGGAGTGTGCACCCGCTGCGAGCCCTGTTCCTGGGAGCCCTGGCTGGATGGGACAGCAGTGGAACTGGCGAGTCCCGGCCCCGGAGAGCTCTAGCCAGGTGGAGCAGCAGCAGGGCAGCCAGCGAGCCCCATCCCCAAGGCACGGCCGAAGCAGGGCAGCAAGCAAGTCCCATTCCCAGGGAGCACCAGCCGAGAGAGGGAAAAGTGGGGCTGTGGTGGCTGGGAGCTCTGTCCCCGGAGTGCTCTGGCCAGGCGGAACAGCAGCAGCTGGGCAGCCAGCGATTCCCATCTCTAGGGAGCCCTTGCTGAGCAGGGGGAGAAGCAGGGCTGTGGCTGTGGTTTGTGAGCTCTGTCCCTGGGGAGCCCCAGCCAGTCAGTGGCTGGGGGGGGGGCCCAGG